AATCCATAAAGTAAGACCTCAAACAGCAGTATAATGACTGTAGATTTTATTGACAGGAGAATATTTGACCAATATAAAGTAACCCACTTTAGGGGGTGTTTTGGGGAACAGACAGTTTTGATGATTTGATGCCACATCCCTGGAAAACTTCTGTAAATTAGTTCTTTCTCAAAAGCAATCAACAAGCGACCTGAGCAGTTGTTTCAGTCAGCGTGACCCAAGTGCGTGTTTAGTCACATTAGATAAAAATTAGAGCCCGACGATATGGGTTTTTTGGGGCCGATACTGATATTAGGGAGTAAAAAAAGGCCGATATCGATATATCCCTCCGCGCGTCGGTAGCCCCTCGGGATCACTTGATTGGTCGGAGCTGGACAGTGAATTTAACCACCCGTAACTCCCAAACCCCGGGGGCTATCAACACAGGGGTGGTCTCATTCAGAAGCGGGCCTCTAGACTTACACTCAATTCGCGTTCGAGAGGGTTTCTCGAGCTGAAAGGATCCCCCGAATTTGGTTAAATTAAAATAAAGTTACGGAGATATGGCCGTTCAAAGTTTCAGTGGTTTTCCATAGACTAAGCTTTAAAGCGTTTCATCCAGGTTGCCAGTAGCAAACAATGGAGCGCGCTCTGCTGGACAAACTAAGTAATTACCCCATTTCAAGCATTTTATCTGCGTTTATATGTTCTGTAAAAAAAAAAATCATATCGTCGGCATATTCGCCAATACCGATATATCGGTGACGGGCTCATATCGGCCGATAATATCGGCAAAACGATATATCGGTCGGGCTCTAATAAAAATGAATTAGTGTTTGTTTACTTTCGATTTGCTGAAGTCGTCTTCTGTCCTTACCTGCTGATCTAACTGTGTGTGTTGATGTGTTTCATCTAGGTTAATGGGAAGGGCTCTCTGTGGTGTGTGGACCCTGAATACAGACCCAATCTGATCCAAGCCCTGAAGAAACAGCACTTTCCCTCAGCCCACTCCTTCTGCACGCCCCCTGCTTCCCCACCCAGGTAACACACACACATTTACTAGAGCACAAACTAATGGAGATGCATTAGCTAATGTTTGATGCATGCATGCAAACCGGCACTGTTCCACACATCTCTGAAAAAGTGGTTCTGTTGTCATTTGGCTCTCAAGCCATCATAAGTGCCTTGACTCATGGTCCTGCTTTATGTCTTACTGTCTGTCTCTCTGTGTGTGTGTGTGTGTGTGTGTGTGTGTGTGTGTCTGTCTGACAGTGCCTTCTCACCCGCACGTCACCTCTTCCTCCAGGGCTGCTCTCTCAAAGGTGAGCCATCTCTGTTTTTTTTTTTAAGTTGAATGTCTGTCAAAACAAGTGCCAATTTGAAATCTTGTTAGTCACAGAACATATAAAAGCATGCATGTTCCAGTGTGCTTGAAAGCAATTAAGTCTGGTTAAATGACTGTCATTTGAGTCATTGAGGACACGCCCTGTGAGATTAGGAAACCGGTTTTACACATCACACCTACATGATTTTTAGTGATTTCTCATGATCACAGCTCTCCACTGTTCAACATTTCCATGTTCCCAGGGAATAAGTTTTATATATTTGTTAGTTTATTTATTTATTTTTAATTTATGTATTGCATTTATTTTGATTTATTTTATATTTACATTTATTTATTTATTTATTTTAATTATTAGAAGTTATACCCATTTCTCATCTTTCAAAAGTATGGAAACTCATTGACCACAAAGTAAGAGAACCCTGTGATTTTAGTTTTTTTGATTTTTCATGTAGGCTGGACTGGTTTCATTATTTGTCCTTTTTATGCATTTTCTTTCTCTTTCTCCATCTCCTTGAGTATGGTGGCTGTTGTGTTCACTCTGTCCTCTGTCTGGTTGGTAATGAATAATTCAAATGTTCTGAAGGGATGCATGGAAACAGAGAAACTCCAGTCCCTTGATCTCCCCACATAAACACACACACACACTCTGACACTGAGCAGTGCTCTGACCGCTGTGTGTCTTTATGTCCTTTACAGAGTCTGACATTGATGCCGCCACTGCTATGATGCTCTTAAACTCGGCCCCTGGACACCATAGTGACCCATGTAAGAGAAGACCCCATCTATCTATCATTATGTCTGTCATTCTAACGTCCTGTTATTCTATCTATCTATCTATCTATCTATCTATCTATCTATCTATCTATCTATTGTTCTATCATTCTGTCTATCATTGTCTAACATTGTTGTATCTTAACGTTGTACCATTGTTTCTAACATCCTATTTTTGTACCTAACGTTCTATTGCTGAATCTGTCGAACGTTCTATCACTATATCTCTAGAACGTTCTGTTGTTTATCTAACGCTGTATCTATTGAACATTATTATATCATTGTATCTATCGAACATTGTATCATTGTATCAGTCAAATGTTCTAACGTTGTATCTACTAGAAGTTTTATAGTTTTATCTAACGTATCTAACAAACATTCTAACGCCATATCTATCGGACGTTCTATCGTTGTATCTATCAAACGTTCTATCGTTGTAGCTATCAAACTTTGTATCGCTGTATCTTTCAAATGTTCTATCGCTGTATCTATTGAAAGTTCTATTGTTGTATCTATCAAAAGTTCTATCGTTGTATCCATCAAACTTTCTATCGCTGTATCTATTGAACATTCTATTGTTGTGGCTATCGAACGTTCTGTCGCTGTATCTAATAAACTTTCTAGCGCTGTATCTATCGGACGTTCTATCGTTGTATCTATCAAACGTTCTATCGTTGTATCTATTGAACATTCTATTGTTGTATCTATCGAACGTTCTATCGCTGTTTCTATCAAACATTCTAGCGCTGTATCTATCGAACGTTCTATCGTTGTATCTATCAAACGTTCTATCGTTGTATCTATTGAACATTCTATTGTTGTATCTATCGAACGTTCTATCGCTGTTTCTATCAAACATTCTAGCGCTGTATCTATCGAACGTTCTATCGTTGTATCTATCAAACGTTCTATCGTTGTATCTATTGAACATTCTATTGTTGTATCTATCGAACGTTCTATCGCTGTTTCTATCAAACATTCTAGCGCTGTATCTATCGAACGTTCTATCGTTGTATCTATCAAACGTTCTATCGTTGTATCTATTGAACATTCTATTGTTGTATCTATCGAACGTTCTATCGCTGTTTCTATCAAACATTCTAGCGCTGTATCTATCGAACGTTCTATCGTTGTATCTATCAAACGTTCTATCGTTGTATCTATTGAACATTCTATTGTTGTATCTATCGAACGTTCTATCGCTGTTTCTATCAAACATTCTAGCGCTGTATCTATCGAACGTTCTATCGTTGTATCTATCAAACGTTCTATCGTTGTATCTATCAAACTTTGTATCGCTGTATCTTTCAAACGTTCTATCGCTGTATCTATCGAACATTCTATTGTTGTGGCTATCGAACGTTCTGTCGCTGTATCTAATAAACTTTCTATCGCTGTCTCTATCGAACGTTATATCGTTGTATCTATTGAATGTTCTATCGCTGTATCTAATTGAACGTTCTGTCGCCTTATCTATCGAATATTCTATCGCTGTATCAAACGTTCTATCGCTGTATCAAACATTCTATCACGGTATCTATCGAATGTTGTATAGTTGTATCTAATGTATCTATCAAATATTCAATTATTCTATCGAATGTTCTATCGAATGCAGCTCTTGGAAATTACCTTTTTTGTTTGTTGTCTGTCATTTCGAAGCTTATTGTTGCATATGTTTTTCTTTAATTTAAATTTGCTTAACTATCGATCTGACCCAGTAGATGTCATAATCCCACTCGGTCTCTCTCCCGCCTTCTGTTTTAATTTTTTTTAAATGGTGGGTGTTTACGCAGTTGACTAGAACGGTGCTGATTGGGGAGAACAGAGGTGCGCTCACTCTGTTGGTTAGTAAGACTGCAACTCAAGGCTGGCAGTCATGCATATGCTCTGGAACGGAGTAATATCGCGTCCATATCGCAGGCTTTGCGATTAGGAAATCGCAACGTCTCAAATCGCGATTTCGATTCGATTTCGATTAATCGCACAGCCCTAGTGGATACGCCGTCATTTTTGCTCGTAAAGATAAGAGTAATACATCATTCGTAACTGTAAAGGGTCTACTTTTATTTGTGTGCACTCACAATATCAACAAAACATTGTGCTTTTATAAAATAAAGAAAACAAACACGATGCGCTTTCTGCCAAATAATTCAAATATCTCCTTACTATTTCCCCCTGACACATTCATGGTAATTATTTTTGCTGGTGCTTTGCGGCAAGCTTTAGCCTATTGCGTGCATTTGAACGCAGATCTCTTCAGCTGCGCTGACGGCATGCATGCTGCTGCTGCGGGACACAAAACACGTCGAGCCGCTCTTGACAGTCGCGGTAGCACGGTCTTAATTGCAGAAATGTGGCAAAACATCTCTGGAGAGAACCTCAGATTATTAAATTCGAAAGTGCTTTCCATATTTGGATCAACATAGGCTACATTTGTGAACGCACATTTTCTGCAATGTCACGCTTCCGTCCGCGTCTTACAGACTGCGTCTTACAATTGCAACTTCATTGTGCTGTTACTCCTTTCGAGCCGAATTTCACAAAATTGGTCAGCTCCCGACAGCATCAGGTGTTTTATTAATGGTGAGTATAATTATTTATTTATTTATTTCCATAGTTTGATACAAAGGGATGAAAGCCAATCACACAAGACTTTTTTCATTTAAAAACATAAGATTTATTGGGATGGGAAAAAACCCGCCATAAAGTTACATTGTTACATTAAATTTACAATTTTAAAGTTACATTAATTTTACATGGCTTTCTAAACATGTGGCTCTCTTGTGCGCGACGCAAGTGCAACGGTGATAGATTATGCGCAAAACATGAGTTCTGTGTGAACGGCTTGGTTGCTTTTTTGACGTAAACAACATAATCTCCGCATCGATGTTCTCTTTTTCCGCAATATTTTAAATAAACAGCGCAGCATCACCGCATCTACTGGGTTCAGCTGGATAGGCTAATAAAAACATTAAAAAGCAGCAAAACTTACATCGTCGTCGCATCTTGTGTGCTACTGATAATTGGATCAACATAGGCTACATTTGTGAACGCACATTTTCTGCAATGTCACGCTTCCGTCCGCGTCTTACAGACTGCGTCTTACAATTGCAACTTCATTGTGCTGTTACTCCTTTCGAGCCGAATTTCACAAAATTGGTCAGCTCCCGACAGCATCAGGTGTTTTATTAATGGTGAGTATAATTATTTATTTATTTATTTCAATGAATGTAATCGATTAGATATCATAACATTTAGGCTATAATAGGCTATTATAATTCTGGTTGGTTTGTATTGGTGACGTAATATGTAAATGATATGCGTGCGGCCCGTGAGACTTGCACTTGGACCATAGTGCGGCCCAGTGGAAAAAAAGGTTGAGAACCACTGCTCTATAATGTTGATGCTGGCAAGTCTGAAATCTGTATCTGTGAGACTGATGTTACACCGAGTGTCGCCTCGTGCAGCGGATGAGTCTGTTTAGTTCAGGTTCATGCAGAACGGCACATTTGCATCATTTATGGAGATGATTTTGAAAATATGTCTGCGTAGCAACTAAAAGCTCTTGCTGGTAATTAGTGCAGCATTGCACTTCCTTTACACGTCTTTATCCTCGTTAAGCATGTCACTGTAGTGTTCACTACCTCTAATGAGCCTTAATCATCCGTAGCAGAATAAACCATCATAAGAGTGCTTCATTAAGACGGCAGATAAAGTACTTGATGATGCGATTCATAATGGCAGTTTACAGATTGACACTTCAGAGATGGAAAATTTACATGAAAAAATTGTATAACTGGCTAAACCTCATGAAACCTGTCAAGACAATGTCCCAAAATCCTTTAGAGCCATAGAATAGAAAGACACTACAAAACATTGTTTTTTCATGCACTGGTCAATTTTGAGATTTTGGCTCATTTGGCTTTTCATAATGTGTTGTTTCAGACTAGTGGAAAGAAAAAATGCAAAATACATATTTTAAGTATTTATTTTATATCACTTTCAGAAATCTCAATTTTGAAAATTTTTACAGAGGTTTTTTTTTTATATATAACATTTGCCTGATTTTTTACAATTTATTACTAAAAACATGGTGAAATTTCTTTTTCTGTCTTTTATAGGATAATTAAATAGAGACAAGACACTCTGGTAAATAGAGTAAAAAAAATGTTTAATTAGATATCACCATACCTAATTTGTAACTTTTAAATACTTTGTTTAACTTTATTTTTAACTTATAAAAATATTATACTATTATTATTACTATATTATAAATATTACTGTAATAATACTATTTCTAATATTTCTCTCACACACACACACACACACACAATGCATATGTTTGTGTGTGTGTGTGTGTGTGTGTGAGAAATATTAGCTATGCAATATTTGTAATATTTATGTATGTTGGTTGTTTGATTAATTACAAAAAATTTTAAATGTTATATAATCTAATTGCGATTTTTATTTTTTTTATTTATTTTTTTTATACCAATATTGCAATTGCGATTTAATATGCAATAATTTTTTTAAAGCTCTTTATGTTCTGTATTATTCAACAAAGACAAGCTATAAATCATTGTATAGTATGACCAACACACTATTAGATAGATTAAACATAAATGTTCTGAAGAAACAGGATTTTTAAAATATTTTTGTAGGGCTGCTGATAGTCGACTAACCGTTAGTTGACCAGAAGAGACTTGGTCGACCAAAATTGTATTAGTCGCTTAGTCGCAGAAAAAAAAATCCACATTGGCGAAGTCACGCAGATCATTAATGACTGGTCTGTGTGGTAATATAGTACATCAGTCAGGACATCCAAACACTTGCCAATCATTCATCGACCTCAGATATGGCTTTTCATCTGAAAATATGTAAGTAGCATCAACTTTACATGGCCGCTCAATCTAATGTTAACCTAGAGAAATGTGCGCTATTCAAGTGTGTATGCGGAGTGTGGAGCAGCGCTCACTGCAGGACAGATGGAGGTG